TCCCGAATAACGTGCTGGCTCGTTATTCGTTATTGGCGAATCCCGAATAACGAGCCAGCACGTTATTCGGGAAACGGCAACACAGGTGAGTTCAGGAGAGGACTGCCCCGTGCACGTCAAAAAAACAGCCAACACCCTATTCGCTCGAAAAACGGTCGTCTCCTTGTTAGTCGGTCACCCAAAGTTCACTTACCCCTACGGTCGGGGGTAGGGAGGGAATGGTCGGATGCAACGTAGGTCGTTCTGTTTTAGAGGCGAATCCCGAATAACGTGCCAGCACGGGATTCGGGATTCGGCAAAACAACAGAAAAATGGGGTTTAACGTCCACTCGACACAAACTAGGTCATTTCGAGACTAACATATAGTTTTAATTTTATTTCAATAATTCGCTTGCTCGTAGGGGGTTTAGCAGTGGGTGGAAACCGGAGGAACCGGAGAAAACCCACGAGGTTAGACAGGCGACCCTATTCCTTGCCACGTACAACCGGGGATTCGAAACCACGCAAGTTGACTCAATGACAGGCTTAATGATACAGCGTGCGCGTGCTCGAACATTCGGTCACCTCCCCCCGGGGGGTAGGGAGGAAATGGTCGGATGCAACGTAGGTCGTTCTGTTTTAGAGGCGAATCCCGAATCCCGAACAACGTGCTGGCTCGTTATTCGGGATTCGCCAATAACGAATAACGAATAACGAGCCAGCACGTTATTCGGGATTCGGCAATACAACAGGTGATTTCAGGAGAGGACTGCCCCGTGCACGTCAACAAACCAGACAACAACCTAGTCGCTCGACAAACGGTCGTCTCCTTGTTAGTCAGTCACCCATCGTTCACTTACCCCTACGGTCGGGGGTAGAGAGGAAATGGTCGGATGCAACGTAGGTCGTTCTGTTTTAGTGGCGAATCCCGAATAACGTGCTGGCTCGTTATTCGTTATTGGCGAATCCCGAATAACGAGCCAATCCCGAATCCCGAATAACATGCCAACTTCACGTTGCCGTGCTTTGGTACATGTATACGATTGGGAACTAATCTATTTAATTCCATGGTAAAGGTATGAGTAATCTACCAACACTAGTCTAGTAATGACTAGAGAAGCCTAGTCGAAACGTCGCTCAGTAAAAAGCAGTAATTGTATTCCATAGAATTGTGACCTATACTGTTATCTCATGTCTCGTCCTGTTATCTATTGTCTTCTGTACATATATATATATATATATATATATATAAACATAATTATCCTTTTTCCACTAATCACATTGTAAATATTCCACTATGTTATAACATGTAATTGTCTGCGATATCACCTCGGTGGAAGCGGACGTTAAATAAAGCTATTTCACACACACACCACAACATGTACACGTTGACAGTTGGAATTCGGCAAAAATTTCTCCACTATAGTACACGAATGGCGTATGTCCGTCTTCATTATTTTGTGCAAAAAAAACCCCAAAACCAAAACAAAACAGGACGTTAAGTCTCATTTCATTTCATAAGTTTTATCCGTATTTATAGTGTGTGTGGATTGTGTTAATCTTGACATTTTAAGTTTGAATATTTAGTTGGTAAAAGTCACCAATTTAGACCAGACAGACTGTGTGTGTCTATGGGCAATGGCAATTACCGTCAAGATGAATATTGCTGTAATACCCAAGGAACTCTTAAAGCACGAATGAATTACGCCATGAACAACTTATTTCCAAAGCCCTGTATATCTATATATACGGCTTTGCTTAGTTCTAGAAACCACACTGATAAGCAGTGAATATTCGCTTGGCCGCTATAGTCAAGTCATTTTATACTGTTCACGGAAATATTTTACCACTATATTCGGTTTTTATAAACAATTCAACAAAATTATTTTTCACATGTCAAGACAAAAAAAATACACGTCAAGACGAAAAAATTCATATGTCAACACTAAAAAATTTACATGTCAAGACGGAAAAATTCACATGTCAAGACGAAAAAAAAAAATTATATATCACGAGCACGTGACCCTTCAAGAGAACGTGACCACATAGTGCCATCTTAAGCAGTTCATCGACAGCATCGCTAACATCACTGTCTGGTTTTATAACACCGAGTGGCGTTCACGGTGGCCAGAAAGTCTCTTTCGGGTTTCTTCGCCTCTTGTACATCAGGTCCTTTCCTCGACTTCTTACAAATTGCCCTCCTCTCATCATCGCTCTTCTCCACGAAACTTGAGTCCACTAAGAAACGATTGGTCGCTACCACTGACTTCATTGAATGTGTCCGAATCGTTGTCATACCGCCAGCTGTTCGAATCTGATTGATTCAAACAGAATGCTCTTCTCAGTACTTCCTTGAAAATACTTCTTTTTAGATTACTGGAGATTTCATTTATCTCGACGGGTGATTTTGCTTGTGTTCCGTGGGATTCCTCACGTCATTCTGAATTTCTGGCATACTGGATCATCAGACATGTCCAATAATTGCAGATTCGGATTCGCCGACTCCAAAAAAAACCTATTAGGGACACCATACATCGACCACGGCATGCGATTACGCTCTGCGCGTTCGGAATATAGGAGTTTCGGGCACTATTTTGGCCGCCATCTTGGATTTCCGCCATATTGGATTTTTCCGAAGTGGTTTCACATCGAAACTTGAATTTGCTGACCCCGAAAATCGCAGAAAAGACGCCATACAGAGGATAACGGGGGTGTTTTCGCACCGCTAAGGTGAGAATTGTTGATTTTGGCGCCATTTTGGACGCCATATTGGATTTTCTGAGATGAATTATTATTGCAGATATGAATTCTCTGACCCCAAAAACCCTATAAAAGACACCCTACAGTGATTATGTAGGGTGATTATGTAAGTGATTATGTACAGTATATTCAAAGAATATCGATTTTGACGCCATTTTGAAAAATGGCCCTGCACCAATCTAAAGAGCACTTTTTCGGGCAAAATTCTTCCGGATTCGTGTTATTCGTTCAATTTCGCCAGAGAAACACCCGGGCGTTTTTCATTTTTCAAAAAATGTTGCATATTGGCCCAACCCTACGTAAATGACGTCAAAAAAGGGAAACCCGTAAAAGCTCCTATATAAAGGTCAGTCATTTTATACAGATGTATTGCGATGGATGTGTAGATTCCTTTGTCTTAACAAGCCTCACGTGTCAAAAAAAAAAATAATTGACGGTTCCGTTAAAATTCGAGCCCCTTCGATAAATCCAACGGACAGGGTGACGATATAATCATAGAAGAATTATTATACTGCTAATAAGTATTCTAATTCGTTGGCATAATACATCCACAATTAAAGATATATTTTTTAAGAGTTTAATATTTAGAGTTGGCCTTTCTTGCGATAATAATTCAAAAATAGATTATAAAAAAGAAAATATTGCAAATTTCAGTCAAATTACTTTATTCTGAACCGAGTTGTCTCTGTTGGAATTTCGGACTAGAAATAGTCATCAACTGTGTCCACATCGTCTACTAGAATTGCCGATCGTTTGATTGACAGACGATAACTCCACCCACATATTCTCGATTATCAAGTAACTTTCTCAATGGCTATGGTACCCTCGCTTGGCAGGCCTTTCATCACCAGTCTCCGGTAGTGACGTCAGTGAGGTTAGCTTGGTCTGCCATTTATTGATTTAATTTTAAATGGACGACTGTTTAAATCCAAGCTATATCCAAGCCATCTGAGGGTCTACAGGGTTGATTTCGAGCTTGTCATAATTCAATAACATCTCAAGCCTAAATAAAGACTTGCAATAGGCAGATTTAGCGCTTGCATAATGTATGTTTGTGGGCATATAAAAACCAATAATTATTTAGTATATGTAGTAGTACCCTTTCCTCTTTACTGGGGGGGGGGGGGGGTGGATGGCTGAATGGTTAGCGTGCGCGCGCCTTATCATAAAGTCTGTCATTGAGTCGACTGGCGTGGTTTCAAATCCCCGGTTGTACGTGACAAGGAGTAGGGTCGCCTGTCCAACCTCATGGGTTTTCTCCCACTGCTCAAGACCCCTAAGCGCAAGCGAATTATAGAAATAAAAATAAAAACCATATGTTAGTCCCGAAATGACCTAGTTTGTGTCGAGTGGACGTTAAACCCCATTTCTCTCTCTCTCTCCTCTTTACTGCATTGGGGGTGGGGGATTTGGGTTGGCGGCTGAATGGTTAAACTGCACGTTAAATCACAAGGTCTGTCATTGAGTCAAGTGGCATGGTTTCAATTCCTGTCTGTCCAACCTTGTGGGTTTTCTCTGGGTCCTCCGGTTTCCTCCTGTAGCTAAAAACCCCTACAAGCAACCAAATTATTGACATTTAATTGAACTATGTTAGTCCCAAAATGGCCTACTTTGTGTGGCCCTTGAACCCCATTTCTCTCACATTCTCTTTTTTCTGCAATGATGTCTCAAAAATCGAAAAAAATTGATTTTGATTGAACCAATTCATTTTGAGCTGGTTGTATTTTCTGTAACAATGCAATGCATGGAAAGTCCACCGTTTGTCTTTCTTGAATTCTTAAAATCATACAAAACATTTTTTGTTTTAAAATATCCTTTTACTACAACAAATATAAAAATATTATTATATCAATTTCATTGATAGATAATAACGTTGTGTACATAAGATTATTCATAAAAATACTATCAAACACAGCTAAATATATCAGAAAAAAACAAAAAAACAAATAAAACCCCTCAAAATCTATGGATGGAAACTAAAATCAAATGATTCTATAAACACTTCTCTATGAAGCTTGAATCTATAAAACTATTACTGGGGAAATTATAAATCAAATAAACAAATTCTGTTGATCTGTACATAAATCTGATTACCAACAAATACTTGAAACTAGCTAAATGAGTTGAAATTTGGGATAATCTTTAGTCTATAAAAATGGAATTATAAAAATGTTTGAATATTTTACAAATGATAGAACATGGTACTGGCCACCGTATTATGTACACCTAGGTCACTTTTGAGTCTTTGACCATGATGTGGGTTATGTACAGAACCACAGAAATTTAAACAAAGAAAAAAAAAAATAATGTTTAATACTATTGTACATACATTATTTGATTTTAAACATGTATATATATATTTGAAATTTGTTTCAAAATTAAAGGAGGAAAGTCGCTAATTCTATATCATCCACAATCTTCGACATTGCAAACACGACTTATTGGTCAATTTAAATCAACACTGATGTTGTTATCTTACGGTGAAAAGATGGGCTTCTGATATCCAATATTTAAGACAAAATGATAATTTTAAAATTGGCACACGAATCGCCTGCCAGAATGCTTTTGAGTGCCATTTGTAATAAAGCACCACGATGAATGAGGCTAAACATACCCCACAGGAGAATACTACTGGTGTAACTGGAATAACCAGACACCAAAGACTGCCATTCAATTTGCACTCTTTGCGTATTTTGCCAAACATAACTGATTAGAAATTACAGGAATTACAAAAAATAGAATGTAAATCAGTTTATATACATTCATAATATGCGTTGCGACCCATTTGTGTCCATTTCTAGGTGCCAAAGAATAGAGATTTAGCTCCTTTAATCATAGCTTGCCAGGCAAGATAACATATGTCAATCAACAGCTTTATAGAGTGAGCACAATAATCAAGATTGGTAAAGAACTTAACTCTGTAGAATGTTTCAGATCTACAGACAGGGGAGACAACAATTACATATATGACCACATTACCATAATAATTAATGGGCTTATTAAAATACCTTTATTTTTATTCATTTACTTTTCAAATATTCAACTGAAATAGGTACGTTATTCTGAAGATCAAATTTAAACTTAGAATGCTAAGGTAAACATGTGTGGATTTCTTAACTGTAAACCCATTTTTACCTATAATCTCCAGAACAAATTATCTCCTAAGTCTTAGATAAAATTCTAATATCGTTACCAACAAATATCTATCAATATTGGTAAATTTTCAAATTGTTCTGTGAATAAATATGATGGGATATATGTAAATTTTGCCTAAATTTGTTTGACATTTTGATTTTTAGCCTATTTCAAATTTTTAAATAATGAACATCCTTCAAATTTTTCTATTATAAATTATAAATAATACTATTCTGGAATGTTAACTAATGAAAGACACATTATTCTAATCACACAAATTAAACTAAATGATGTTTACAACATATTATTTTTACGAATTTCTAATAAAAATCTAACTTACAATATATCTGTATGCATTTAAACACAGTTTACGATATAAATGTATTATACTTTTTTGGCTAGTGAATATTATAAATCTTTATGAATTACTCAAAGCTCATAAGATTTGATAATAAACAAACAACTAACATAATATTATATAACATACATGTAAAGTTAAATTACTTTTTAAAGTTGGTCCTCCTGTTGACAGTCTAATTAAAATTAGATTATGCAGATGGATAAGACAGTAAGTTTGATTTTCATATTTTAATTTTATGCTCTTTTACATGTTATGCTGTTGGCACAAGTAGCACAATCTAACCACAATGGTTGTGTTCAATTAGACCAGCTCTAACCTCTCATTTAGCCAATGAAGATATATTTGTCTGAGGCAAGAAAGATATAAGTCAATCACATTGGTTTACGGAAACCTGTTGAAAATCGTTGGTCTTCCCCTTTAAATAGAACAAATAACTCTGTAAGAGTGTAGTAAGATCTTCAGGCAGTGTAGGTTAACAAAAATGAAAACCATCATGAAATAAAGATTTAATTTTAAATTAGATTATCAAATTTTATAGGTAGTTGGTTGATTTGGGTATATTTTTCATTAACACAATTATTGTTACATAATAATAAAATACAGTATTCATATATTCTAAAAAGATTTAACAAGACAATAACAATTATGCCATATAATAATCAGTACACAAAAAAAATATGTGTATTTTATTATCACCTCAGTCAGCTATTACAATAAAAATATTTAAAAAGTTCTTTTTATAACAATTCTTCATAGAAATCTGATCTAATCCATGACAATGAATTTCCTCTATAATAAAATGAAAATATATTTTAACGGTCAAAGATATATTAAAAGAACAATGATACAATGATAATGTTTGGGTTGTTACTTAGTTTCTAACAAGAGGTCTGAATGACGCCATTAACATGTAAGGTGATGTCATGTAAACAATGAGGTTGGGAAGATGATTACCAGCGGTTGCCAGGCAAAATATGCCCACATATAACAATCAGTACACAAAACCAGTGGCTGCCAGGCAGGATACGCCCACATTTTTCAAGAGATGGATAGAGAACAAGCCAAAAAAAAAGCAATTTTTCGTACAATCAAGGGCCATAATTCAGTTACGATCCGATATGCGCAATTATTGAAAGGAACCAGGACCTTTGGATTATAAACATGCATTTCAAGTTTCATCAAAATCAGATCAAAATTGTGACCTCTAGAGGGCCACAACCTTGACATACCATATGTTTACACTATTTGCATACAAGGGGCGGCCATTTTGTCCGGCAGTTTTGGTCTGATTTTCTCAAAATTCGAAGTCAACCAACATTAAGGTGTAACAGTGATATATTCGAACATTTTTTAAATCGGATAATAATTGTGATCTCTAGAAGGACCACAAGCTAAAAATGTGATTTTTCATACAATCAGGGACCATAATTCAGGAAGTTACTGTCTAATATGCACGAATATCTAAATGAACCAAGATCTTTGGGTTATAAACATGTATTTCAAGTTTCATCAAAATCAGATGAAAATTGTGACCTCTAGAGTGTTCACAACTAAAAACATGATTTTTCGTACAATCAGGGGCCATAATCCATGAATTTATGGTCCGATACATGCCAATATCAAAAGCAACCGAGATCTTTGGGAGATAGACCTATATTTCAAGTTTCGTCAAAATCGGATCAAAGTTGTGACTTGTAGAGTGTCCACTGTCAGACATACGGACAGGGGCGACGACAATATACATCCACATGAAAATGTGGGCGTATAAAAATACAGTCCTTAAGATTCAATTCACATAGAAATCGAATAGATTAATAAGGTTTAGCTGTGTATTTGCTACAAAATTCAACTGGGTCCGAATTCAATTAACTACTAAAGCTGAAAATTCAATTAACTACTCAAGCTGAAAATTTAATTAAACACAAACTACTCAAGCTGAAAATTCAATTAACTACCCAAGTACTGGTATCATCAGATGAAAAAAGGCAAAATTGTTTCAGTTTAATTTCAGAAGTTTTTTCACCTAAGTGCAATGTCTTTATGAATTGAGTTCAGACCCTGGTGACCATTTGACATTATTCCACATTAAAAACAAAAATAACAAACAATATAATATCTTCTGTAATTACAACACGTATATACAGATAACTATAATATAATTGTGTAAATTTAAATTAAAACTACATATACTCAGCCAAATTAAAAACTTGACACTGATGAATTTCAACAAATTTTTTTTTCTGGTAAGTCAAATAAATTTTAAAGTGTTTCTAACGATAGTAAGTAGTAAGAAGCCTTTAATTTCATAAAATTGTAAAGTCACTTGGATCACGTGACTTTTGAGCATATAAAGATGAAAAACCTGAAAAACACGTGCCAACACAAACACGTGAGGTCAATCGATGCAAGTTTGCTTAAACTGAACACGCACACGTAACTTGAACTGGAAAAACAAATTAAAATTGTTATTTTCATCTAAAACAAACAGGATTTTTTGTACAATCAGGGGCAATAATCCAAAAGTTATGGTCTGAAATGCGGAAATATCAAAAGGGACTTAGATCTTTGGGATATAAAGATATGTTTTAAGTTTCATCAGAATATGATAAAAATTGTGACCTCTAGAGGGTCTACAACCTTCGTATTGCATACTTTTACACAATTTGCATACAAAGAGCGGCCATAATTATTGTGACATCTAGAGGGACCTCAAGCTAAAACGCAATTTCTCGGACAATCAGGGGCCATAATTCAGGAAGTTACTATCCGATATGCGCGAATATCTAAAGGATCCAAGATCTATGGGTTATAAACTTACATTTCAAGTTTCATCAAAATCAGGTTCCACAACATTGATATTCACTTTTTTTGAATTGTCTCTCTGTGTTTTCCTGAGTATGATTTCTTGTCCGTGTGTTTGTTTTTGTGTAAATTTTGTGTGATGCAGTCCCCCTGCATTTACTATTAAATTAGCTATTAATAGCCACTGAGCATCAGCTGGGGGATTTTGAATCTGTTGCAAACTACAATATTGTGAAAATCAGTTTAACAATGGTTCAATTTGTTCAAATTTTACAAAGATACTTGAATTGAAGCTTTTGCAACATTTGTCTGCAGAGGTTGTAAACCAGCCAGTGTCCCTTGTAAGTGTTGGTGAAGATCTTTTAATCTGATTGAATCCAAGTTGGGGGATTTTCGAACATTGATTGTTTTGTTTTGTTTTGTTTTGTTTTCTTAAATAAATGTCAAATGATTAAAGTGAATAAATTTTAGTGTGAATTAATCTGTGAAAAATTAAATGTTGTTTGAAATAAGCAAAAGATGATTAGAAGCTTTAAGATGCTGAATGTGACCTTATGAGAGGAGATATCAGTCAATATCTGTAAACATAGAGTTGCCCGGATTCACATAAACACAAGAGGTTAAAATAACTTTGTTTGTGTCTCATACAGACTACAGTAGTATCACCATCATATTGTACCGAAAATTATGTGACATAAAAATGTAGCAACAAATAAGCATGCATACATATAGCAATTTGAGAATAATTAAGAATACATTTCAATATTTACTGACTAGCCAGTTGAATATTTATGCAGTTATAGAAATATATGAAACCCATTATTTGAGAGAATCAAAGGTCATAAACATTGAAATACTGAAATCTAGTGCAGTATCGTAGGTCTACAATCAACAAATATAGATCATACATCACTAAAAATAAAAAATAAATTACAGCTCATCATATATTGGAACAAGTTCACTTTGTTTTAGAGTACCATGTAAACTATATGTCAACTCAAATGAAAAACTAATTACTTGCTCAAAACCATGTTCCTGAAGCAATGACTGCAAGTTTTACAACATCTAGCCTTTACTAGATTATCACAGCTAGACATTTCAGTTGGAACAAAGAAAAACAAAACGAGATGAAATGAAAGTCAAGTTGATCTTGATATAAGACAGACTACATCAGAGATCAATTCGTTACTATACAGAGCAGGACATATCTTGTCTTCCAAGGCATTGAAAGGTCAAAGAAAGGCAAAGTTATCGGTCAGTATTATTAATTGGGTGTGTATGTGAGTTAAGGTTCTCAAAGCTATGGGCAGGCGAACCATCTTCAGCTAATTTGGTAAAAGTAGCCGGTTCATCCATCATGGCTAGGTCATTTTTCTCATCAGGTAATTTTTTCTTGCAACAACGTTTACGTATCTCTATGGCAACAAGAATGATAATAAATGGAATGGGCATAAAAAGAGAAGAGGCAATTGGACCAATGATGCTTATATCAGATTCTGGTGGACTGAGAGAAATCCGCAGCAAAACTATTGGTATACCAGTGTTTTGAATACCTGTTTCAATGACGATAGCAATTAAATTTTTCTTTGGTTGCCTAGTAACAAATGAGATCAACAGCCCGAATAAAAAGCCACTATACGGTATAATTGCTCCAACTAATAGAATTATTGGATCAAAAAAGTCAAATATATATAAATTGGCATAAACACCAACAGTCATGGCAAATAGCAGGAATATGAATACCAATGGCTTAATTATTTTAACAAGTTTTTTGGCCCAATTTGGTCTCTTGTACTGGATGACCATACCTAGAAATACTGGTATAATCAAACCAAGTAATGATGTAATTATGTTGACATATGGTATCTGCATGGTTGTACCTTTATATATGACTTTCTGTCCTACAGTAAACAACCACATTGGTATTAAACCTGAAAAGAAATTTTATCATATTTCAGAACTGCATGTTACATAATCGACGTCCATCAAAAGTTAATCAGTTCTAAATTAAAGCGATATTGCTTAATACTTTGTTTAACAGATGCTATTTGCAATGGAGACAAAGCTGACACAAGCTTACAATGATTCAATAATTAATAGCATGTTGAAATATAACAACTGTTTGATTTTCGTCTGTAAACTCGAAGTGCCTCAATAATCTTCTACTACATTCCTGTGAAGTTTGGTTCGAATCCATTGGATAACTTAGGGAGATATTGCCCCTGAAACTTTACTCAAGTTTGGAGCGGTGTAATTTGAAAATAAAGGCAAATTCCCCTCATAGTGTGTTATCTTTTAAAGCATCTTGCTTCTTTAATCATTTTTCCCATTAAATTCCCAAAATCTCTGACTAAAAGGCAAATACACAATAAAAGTAGTCTTACCTAAGGGCATACTGGTAAAAAAATTATTAAATTGTTATCTAAAGTTTACATTACTTTCTACTGATTTCACTTCAGCTGTCGACTGGAGGATAACACTACTATCCAGATAGCATCTTACTTAAAATTTTGGCTTTCATTTTTAAACAATTTCTACCAGCATTTATAATAAAGAACTCTTTTCAGCTCTTAATTTTGTTCAATTAATGAATTGTTCGTTAATATTCTATATTTGGGGATTACTGCTTAACATAACATTTGTAACACTAAAGGAATAGAGAGAGAGAAATGGGGTTTAATGTCCAATTGACACAAACTAGGTCATTTTGGGACTAACATGGTTCAATTTCATTTCAATATTTCACTTGCACATAGGGATCTTTCGCAGTGGGAGGAAACAGGAGGACCCAGAGAAAACCCACAAGGTGACCCTACTCCACATCACATACAAGCGGGGAATCGAAACCACGCTACTTGACTCAATGACAGATCTCATGAAGCAAGATGCAACGTGCACGCATTAACTATTCAGCCAATACCCCCCCCCCCCCCACTACAGGAATAACACAGCAAATTTGAAATTGAATTTGAAGATCCCATTATAAATTTTAAGCCTGTCACATTTAATTAATTGATCATGGCTATCTAAATGATAGTTAATTACATATGCACCAATGGCAACAGGTGCGCAGTGATTTGTATTGTAAAATATTACAAGGATTATAATTACCTAGTGAACAGACGGTACTAACTAAAGTCATGGTAACACTTAAAGATATATCACCACCTAACAGATATGTATATACGTTACTAGCTGATCCTCCTGGAGAACATCCCAAAGCAAAATAACCTATAGCAATGGCTGGGTCTAACTCTAGGTAATAGGCTGCTAAAAATGATACCTGAAATATTCAATGCGTTATTTTTGTTGAATAGACAAACATGTAGCAATTTTTAGAATGCACATTAGAGTGCACAATTAATCCTGTTATCTAACTATGCTTAACAGGGAATAGTGTCATCTGCCTATCCTTGCATGTTTTCGCTGATTTCCTCTCACTTCTAAAGGCCAATGTATGCCTACTCTTATTTCAAATTCTGACTGTCAAGGGTTCTTTTACATCAACACCAACATAGATACACAGGACCTTGTTTTTTCAGTCCATCCAAACTATGAGATTCTGTTCCTTGCCAGGCCCTACATCCTGCACCACTGACAAGGGGAATCACTGATGGAAATTCCTGAGGACATTCCTTGGCCAACACCAGGCCTGAACCCAGGACCTCCTGGTTAGAGAGATAGCACCTTACTTCACTAAGATATGATTTCCCAGCAAAGCTTTTTTTGTTGTTTTCATAAATGATTTTTTTGGAATGTATGAAAACAGAACTTAATTAAACTTATCTTTGAGGGTTACACAGATTATCTCCCTTTCAATAAATAGAAAATGATTGACTTACTGTAGGCATAAATAAGAATTGTGAGAGCAGACCAATTACTGGAGCTACTGGCCTCTTCAGTGTAGCTTTAACAACTTCTGGATCTATTTTACATCCCATAGCCATTGTTGCCACAACTACTAGAGTTATAATAACCACATTAAAAGCTGTATCAATGGGTCTGCTAACACGAGTTACAATTAATTCAAACTTTTCTAGGAGAGTTTCATTCGCTCCATTATTACTTTCGTGTTCCCTCACCAAAACATTTAGATATGTGCGGCCTATTATTTTTCCGGTAACTTTAAAAGATACCTCCCCTATGCTGGACTCATTCAGCACAAGCAATGTTTCTCCAATAATTTCTGCTTTCTTGGAATTGTCCACAACAAATAATGCCTCAACATAAGTATTACCAAATACAGAATAATTAAAATTTAGAATTGATTCTTTTCCATCATCATTGATTACTATTGGAACATCTTGTTTTAAGTCGATATCTACCACGTTAGTAAAATTTTCAGATCTTGACGTTGGAAGCAGCCACACGACCAATATGAAGAAGCCTGATATTAACATGTTGATCTTTTATCTTGAAATAAAATCTGAAACAAAAATACATAGCATTAGCAATACCAAACTTTACAATGATGTTCATTATATATATGTAACAAGGTGTTTCAAAATCCCATAAAAAAAAAAAAACCATTTGGAATTGAAGCATTCCAAACAAATTTTGTCCATATTCTATACCATTTACAGTACTTTCCAACCATCAATCTGCTTAACTAAAAAACTTAAAAATGCAAGAAAAGAATTGAAATTAAAACATGCCAACAGTGAGGCTGATGTCCTCCGCCTCAACCTCAAAATAAATAGATGACACATACTGATTTAAACTGTAATTGATTAATCAAGTCTTTGGAACACATTAATCCTGCTTTTAATTAGAGGTAGAATCAAGCCTGAATTTAAGGTTACTGATATACTTTGTCAGGTACAAATTATCACACAATGTTTATAATATAATATAATTTGTGTCTGACAATGTCTGTCACAGGTGCCTTACATTCAGGCCTGTATACGTACGTACGAGGGCAGGCTGAAAAGTTCTAAGCCCATCTGTGAAAGACCAGTACCAAGTCAACTGCTTCCATTTTTTTTTTACATAGTCCCCTTCAAGGTGTACACACTTTTGCCAATAATGTTGCAAAGCTTGTATACCGGTCAGGAAGAAATTTTCTTTGGTCACCCTAAAATAAAAAGATCTTTCCCAGCAGGCATGACATCATCATTACTAGGAAAATGATGACCAGCTAGTTCCTTTTTCATTTTTGGAAACAGATCTCATCCATGGTTACCAATCTGGCGAAAAAAATTATCAGGATCTACTTCAAAACGGCGCAGATTGTCACAGGATGTCAGGAATCGGACACGTTTCTGATTCGCAGTCAAAAGCTTTGGCACCAATCTTGCAGAAACTTTTGTCATTACTTACTTGTTGGCGATAATGTGCTTAACCTACTTACGAGAGATGCCCACAGCACTAGCAATATGTAAAGTGGTCAATTGTTGATAAGCCGTCACCATGTCATGCACCTTGGTGATGTTTTCTTGAATGATTGCTGTTGCTTATATTCCGCAACGCATTTAACAGTCCCCATCTTTCTTTGAAAGGTAGGAGGACAAAAAATTAAATTTTATTATCTACTACTCTGTCTGCATTAAGGGTGTACTTCGAAATCATTGTCAATACACTTAAGAATGTTTATAATGTGTTATCATTGAACTATGATTCTGTACACCATACATGTTCGAATTTTATTTACTCAGATAAGAAAAGGTCTATAATAATATAGGTGAATTTATAGAAGTCTGTATTCTTTCTCTGGTGTATTTATACATGCAGTTTATGTACAAAAGTAACCAAAAGCTGTTGATATAGGGCAAAATAAATGTTGAATTTGCTTGATGTGTTATGTAGCGATTTAATGATCAGATAAGTTCTATAGGTTAAGCTTACATTTTCATGTTGGCCAAGTAAGCATATTTATAATAAGACCTTGAAGTTCAAGCAGATCTTTTACTTTAGGGCTCATTCTAAGCTCATTTGACACAAGAATACAGCTTGAGTACAGTGTATGTGTCAAATATAAAATCTGAGAAATCAACACCAATATATTATCATGTTTACCCACTCAGCATAAGTAATATAAACTTAGTTACCATTTGTCACATGTAAATCTAAATCAAAAACATAGCTAATCTTTTTACATTAATTAGACCACATAAAATTACAATTCAATACTTTGTTTTTTTACTTATAGGCTGCATGATGTGAATGCCTCTTTAAAATTTCATATATCTATTTGATGTCACATGTCTAAAACCATATTTTATAAACATAATTGTTATTATAGCTATTTATAATCCGACTATGTACATGTAGGCCTACATTTTAACCTGACATTTTTATACAATGAAAATATAGGTTGACTCAGACGATGAACTGTTCTTAAAAGATCACTTCTGTATAGGTCATGTTACTACAGGCTGACACAAAGAAAACGTTCATCAATAAAAATCAAATAACTTCCAAAATTTTATTTAGATTAACACAAAAATTCAGCTACATTAGGTTAAGTCTATGTAGCAGACATCTCCAAAGTTCCAAGTCTGTCACAAAAACTCTTTGTTTAACTGGCACTCAAAAAATGTGCTCTAAATGAGCTCCCCGGTGCTGCAAGCACATTTGGATCCGGCGGGCAAAGTTCTCGATGACCCTCCCACATTCTTCCCTTGGGATCGCTTTTATTGCTTCTGTGATTGCTGCCTTCAGATCAGGGATAGTCGGGGGGTTGTTGCCATACACCCTGTCCTTAAGGTATCCCCACAGATAAAAAAATCTGGGGCGTTTAAGTCCGGTGAATGCGGCGACCACTCCGGGTCACACCTGCGGCTGATCAGTCGGTCAGGGAAACGCTGCTGTAGCCATGCCAATGATACGTTTGAGGTGTGGGGGGTGGCACCATCCTGCTGGAACCACTAGAGTCCCTGACGACCCCTCTTCGTTATCCAAGTTTAGGTGATGAACGCTTTTTTTGTGTCACCCGGTACTAAAAAAAGAATGATCTAAACAGGTTACATTTGAATATTATGTATGAAAGTGGTATTCCAATAATATAGAGGAATTGCCCAATTTTGTAATCTTGAGATTACTTTTGATTGCAGGATTTAAAGTACAATCAACTAATAATAACACCGAGACACAATAAAAACTGACCACAGATTTGAGACATAATGCAGCTGAAATGTCATCTTTGGCATGATGGTAGGCTGGAATTTACTAATATTAGAACATCAAAATTCTGGCCATAACATTCTGTTCATTTTCATGTTGTGTGGTAGAGTGGTTTCAACAAAAGTAAACCATCATTTATAGAGAGAGAGAGAAATGTGGCTTATCACCCTCTCAGGGCTAACAGTAACAACAATTCACTTACGTTTGAGGTCTTTAGCTGTGGGAGGAAACCGGAGGATCCAGAGAAAACAGGCGACCCAACTCCTTGTGACATATAAGTGTTGGATTGAAACCCCCAACACCCCATCATTTACAACACATCAACTTGATTGCTAGTCATCAAACTGATCTTAAACTCTCTGCTTTTGTCTTCACCAACCAAATACAGATCACAATGTATTTCCATCAACTTATTATTAACAACAAGAATCTTGGACACAAAACAAAATGTAAGGTAGTGTGTGTAATTATAGCTACGAGAACCTTACTAAAAATGTTGAAGTATTTTGTTTATTATTATAATACCTGTAACGTCTTAAAAAAAAAAAAAACCCAGCCCAATGCATCGACACCACTTTTACATCACTGCAAAATTTTTGATTAATTTAATCAAGGGGTTTTTCCCTGAATTAATTGCATATGAAAAACCCAGCAGAGTTCATTCTGTTTATTCTCCATATTTAGCCCGGCCTTGGTTACGTTTTGACATGAAATAAAAATGTCTGGACTTGCAACAGCGTAACCACTTCAATTTAGACCAGATGATTTGTGCCTCTGTCACGTAGTAGTCTATTTTAATTATTATGCTTAAAGATGCATTATGTAAGATTTAGATAAAAAGCTGGCCGTTCTTGCTATAAAATTTCAAAAATAGATAATGCTCAAAGCACAACACAAATGAGTCTCACAAAAATAAAAGTCACTACTCTGGTTAAGATAGTTTGAATAAGTAAGTCTTTAGCTGTGATTAGAAAACAGTGAAAGTTTCTGATTCTCTAATTCTGGATGGTAGTTGATTGCAGAGCAGAGGAGTGGCTACCCAGAAACTTGTATCACCAAAGCAAACCAGTTTCGTTCCAGGTATTTTAAGAGTGTTCATATTGTGCGATCGAAAGGAATACTTAGTTATACTACATGTACCTTCTCCAAAAGTTCAGATAAATATAAAGGAGCAAGATTGTTTTGACATTGGTACACTAATGACACAATTTTATACTGAATTCTAGCTTCTATAGGTAATAATTGCATGGACTTTAAAGATAGGTTCCCAGAAAAGTATTTATCGGGTGGTTATTTCCAATAAAACTCTGGCAATTTTGGTATATATGGAAAGTAGAGATATCCAATCTCACTAGAAAAATTCTGGATTCCCTGAAAAACACCCATGGAGCGTATACAGGACAAAAATGTCAGGGTTCCCCTAATCGACAGCCCGACGATTAGAAATAGCTACACGCGTGACGTCAAAGGTTGCACATGGAGATTGAGCGCTTGATGTACATGTTGATAAAATTTATGAAGGGAGACATACAACACTTTCTGAGATAAAAATCACGGAAAAAGACGCAGGCAATGGATAATCCGAGAATTTAATTAGGATTCGATTTGTAATAAATAGTCAGCGATTGAAGGCAACATCGTTTTGTGTATGCAATGAATTCTCCTCCAACTTCGCACCCGTAAGTCACGTGACACAAACATGACCTCTTTTGATCAATTTTTTATAGCAAGGGTATTCCTTGACAATTATAATGTTTTGAGAAGGATTTGAAGCAAATTTATGATAAATTAATTAGCCTGAATATGTTTTTAGGTCAAATATATCATCAAATCACCCAGTTTGTACACTGGAATGTATCTTTAATACTGGTGATATTGACGAATATTATAGGGCTCTTGTAATTAATCTAGCAGCTGTGTTCTGAATTGTCTGTAATATCTGCATTAGTAAAGTCCAGTCCATACAGAAAATTGTTGGAATAATCAATTCTTGAAAGAACCAAAGCCTGCTCCATCATTTTAGCAGCATCTTTTGTAATAAGGTGCCGGATGTGTCCAATACATTGTGTGTGATAGTAGCAGATGCGACACAGCTCGTCAAAGTTACAATTTAATATTTTCTAAGGAAGTCAAAACATAATGATTTCTATGTCTTTTGCTCAATAGGTTGTCAACTCACTATTATACGATCATGGGCATTATTTCCCACCCTTAAAAATCATTGACACAGGAAATAATAACACAATTACCTCCCAATTACCTATTCCACACCATGGAATAGCTATCTTCAAACGTTTGAATTTAAAGTTGAAAATGATATTTTTGCCAATTTCTCAACTGGCAATAGTGAATTATAGGATTAATAGGATTATTCTTTAACAAGGTAGGACTGTTTATAGATACCATCTATTTTAGGGCTTTATTTTAATACATTTTAAAAATATAACTTAAAAATACGAAATTTAACTTTAACATGTTTTTCCATTGATAGTGATGACTCCAGATAAACACCTAAATTCTTAACATTACCAGAAAAGTTGATGGCAGTATCACAAATCTTCATGCTTTGTTGCGTTATGTGGCCTACTTTGTTGCAAGTACCAATTAACATTATCTCGTTTTGTTTTTGAGTTTGAGTTTAAGTTTATTGTGAGTCATCCAAGATTTGATAGACTGTGAAGTTCACAGAGTGAACACATTGTTGTACATTAAATGATTCATTACTTTGTATGAGGTCGAAAGTGTCAATTAGTTGCTTGTCATAAGCATATGAATAATGACTGATATCATGTTGGTCAATGATATTACCAAGGCATGTTGTGTATAAAATGAATAACACAGGACCCAGCACCGATCCCTGGGGCATTCCACAAGATAATAATACTTTATCAGTCTGGTCATTATCTACCATAACATTGAAATCTGTTGCATAGATAGGATGCAAACTAAGCAAGCATGGTATCAGTGATTTTGAATTTATTTTGAAGTCGTTTCAGCATAACATTATGATCTGAACAATGGTGTCAAATGCTGCCGATAGGACCACCAGGATCTGTGAGGCAATTTTACCGGCATCCACAGCATATCTCAGATATTAACTTTAGCCTCTAGAGCGTCCACAAGATTTTTCAAAGTCATCAAGGGCCATAACTCTGGCAGTAATTATCGGATATTGCTGAATATCAATAGGCTTCTTCGGCTCATGACCTTAAACACTGTGTATAAATTTAAAGTCAATCGAATATTAACTTTGGCCTCTAGAAAGTCCACAAGATTTTTTGAAGTCATCAAGGGCCATAACTCTGACAGTAATTATCGGAAATCATTGAAAATCAATAGGCTTCTTTGTCTCATGACCTTAAACACTGTGTATAAATTTAAAGTCAAACGGATATTAACTTTGGCTTTTAGAGCGTCCACAAGATTTTTTTAAGTGATCAAGGGCCATAACTCTGGCAGTAATTATAGGAAATCGCTGAAAATCAATAGGCTTCTTCATCTCATGACCTTAAACACTGTGTATAAATTTTAGGTCAATCGGATATTAACTTTGGCCTCTAGCGTCCACAAGATTTTTCAAAGTGATCAAGGGCCATAACTCTGGCAATAATTATCGGAAATCGCTGAAAATCGATAGGCTTCTTTGTCTCAAGACCTTAAACACTGTGTATAAATTTAAAGTCAATCAGATATTAACTTTGGCCTCTAGAGCGTCCACAAGCAATAATGTGGACGCCGGACCACCGGACCGACGGACGGGGCAACGACAATATACGACCACATTTCACTGTGGGCGTATAAAAAGCGTCATTTCCACACTGTGTTTGGGTCGATACACAGACTGAAACTTATCCAGTAGAACATGTGCTGACAAAAAGAAACGTAATCGAATATTATAACATTTGTCAATGTCGACAGTTTATATAACATTTGAAGCCAAGATAAACTGCAATAGGCAGAGTTAGCTTTTACATAATGCATCTTTAATAATTGTAGTTGGGTGTGACGGAAATGGAATAAATAGTTATGGTTGTTTTGAAGAAAAACTTGACAGCTAATGCCGTTGTGATTTATAACGGCTAGATCAGTTATAATGATGTCCGGTATCCCATAAATTAAGCATCATATCTGGGGCAAGGATGAGTGCAATATCTTAAAAATATACTTTAAGTTTAAGGGGTGAGTTTTTATGCGTGACAGACAGGACAAAGTCATTGTGACAGACGGGACAAATTTGGACAAGAGAGAATGCAAACTTATTTTAAATGATAAAGAAGTTGGTAATAAATGATGAGTGATGAAAACTTGTCTTTGGATGTTTAAAATCAATTTCATGCTTCTAATGGAGATGTTTAACCATTATGTCTCATTGACTGTGACAGACGGGACATTAATTTGCATCCATTTTTCAATGGATTTATTCAAAACAAATTTTCTTTCTCAAATCAAAATTAAACTAAATTGTTATAATGATGTCAAGTTTCCCATAAATTGCATCATATCTGTGGCAAAGATGAGAGCAATCATGTTAAAAATATACTATTAGGGGTGAGTTTGTATGTGTGACAAATGGGACAAATTTGGATAAGAGAACTTATTTGAAATGATTAAGTAATTGGGAGTTAATGATGAGCGATGAAAACATGTCTTCTGATGTTTGAAATCCATTCAATGATTCTAATGGAGATGTTTAATCTCTCAGTTTTTGGAACCATTTCGTATCATTCAAAATTTGTTTAAATTCATTTATTTTTTAAAACAAACTACATATATATTATATATGATAAATATAATATAACACTGATTAGACAATTCATAATAGAACGAAGATTGCTGTTTAAAAATTATTTCGCATGATAAAAAAAATAATCTGGAACATCAAATCAGAATAAATTTATAATAACAATTAAAGATGGATAATCTTGAAGTAATTTGTCATGCCCTGAACGAATATAAATATTTTAAATTTGGTATATTTGGATATGAGGGCTTCAGATACCTAATCTTCAATTCTAAATCAACATTTTAAAAATTCAAAAAATGCAAATTGGAGCAACTTTGACTGGGGTTTCCAAAAAATCCCTAAAGTTAGCCATCGTTTGTGGAAGAATAAGTTTTTAATAATTACAACTGAACTATCAAATAATAAGAGTTCAATGACAAATGATCTATTAAAAATTAACAATGTTATTACAAGCTTCTTGAACTATTTGAAGGTAAAAAAAACCCAGATTAAAGCAGGAAAGCAGCATTATGAACTTGTGTGACAGACGGGACATTTGTGACAGCGGGACACACTTCAAATACAATTTTCACTCTGTTGATTTATATTAGATCTAATTAATTATATGTTCTGAATCGGCCATATAAAGAAGGAGATAGCTATTATAGTTAAACTTTTAAATATTACCTAGTTCTGTTAATACAGAAACTTTTCAGTGTATTCTGTGACAGACGGGACAATAATTTATTGTTACGATTTTCAGCTTGAAAGATACTTTAACTTACCCTCAAAGAAATTATATACACTGCACAGTTTATTACTAGTTTATATGATACAAATATGCCACTATCATCATTTTCTACCCCTATTTTATTACAACAGAGCCAATTAAATTTAGGCTGCTAAATCATAACTATTTTTTTAAAAATGAACAACAACTTTGGCGCATCGTATTTTGGTGATAACATAAGACAGATAAAATATCAACCCAATTTAAATAACTTCAACATAATTATATTGAAAAAAAATTGCATTGAACTTCCTCCTTATCATTTATTTTAGTTCAAGTGGGGAACATAGGCATGGAATTAGCCTTTTATGACGTGTTTAAAATAAATAAATTTGTCAAATGTACAATTATTTATTTTATTTTATGTTTTTTTGGAAAACCTCTCCTCACCGATGCACCATACAAACACATCAAGATCAGATCTAGTTCCTTTAAAGAAACTAGATAGATCAAGAATATAAAGTAAAAGAAAAATTGATTTTATCACAGTTCACACACTAATAAAACAGACACAATTGTGACAATCTGTCAGATTTGGTGTGTAGGCCTAAATACCAGTAAATGAATGAAAAATGTTTTACCTCTTTCAACATAAAAGTTAAAACGTGAAATACATAATATACCATACCTTAATTGTGCTGTTTACTACATTTTCTAATGGGACTTTATAGGCTAATATTATTATTATTTAAGGTGAACAGTCAACCTTCACAAATAGGCTTGATTATCAAGTCTTAATATTGTATCCGATTGATTGTGGTAATATTCGGGCGGTCTATAACTGGACTATGGTGGCTGATTGGTATCGTGTCGTGATGTCGTGGTGTCGCCCTTCTGCCTTCATAAGGCGACAACCCGACATCACGACATTATAACCCGACATCACGACAGCCAGACAACCCGACATCACAACATTTTAAGCCCCGACACCACGACATTAAGAATGTCGTATTGTCGCGTAAAAATGTCGTGATGTCGGGTTGTCGTGATGTCGTGATGTCGGGGTGTCGACTTTATTAACAATGTTGAAGCGGCCATGAATAATAGAGTGCTGCCCATAGAAATATAGACTATATTTCTGTGCTGCCCCTTGCCGAGATCAAGTCAGCCCTCGCTATCTCATCCTTCACTAAGAAAACTTACCCTTCACTAACTGCGAATGAATCTGACCCTCACTACCAAATTCGCTGGATGACCATATCTGGAGTGTAATCTCGTGCTCGGTATGGGTTAATTCAAACCTTCGATAAATAAAATGAATTGAATATAGTCTATTTTTAGTAACCCATTTCTTTGCTCAAAATAAAAATGTTTTTATCTCTTCTAAAGTATGTAGGCCTAATCATGAATGTGCCAGAAAATAACAAGTAGATTTAAAGAGCCATAGAAACCTACTTTCCGGTGATGTATGGCACAATAACTGGAATTTCGTATTAAAGTTGCAATTTCATATTTTCTAAGAAAGTCAAAACATAATTATTTAGGTTGTCAACTCACTATTATACGATCATAGGTTATCTTTCTCACACTTAAAAATCTTCACACCGGAAATAATAACACAGTTACCTCTCAATTACCTCCCTTGTTTTCCTATTCCCCACCATGGAATAGCTATCTTCAAACGTTTGAATTTGAAGTTGAAAATGATATTTTTGCCAATTTCTCAACTGGCAATAGTGAATTATAGGATTAATAGGATTATTCTTTAACAAGGTAGGGCTGTTTATAGATATCATCTATTTTAGGGCTTTATTTTAATACATTTTAAAAATATAACTTAAAAATATGAAATTGTAACTTTAAGACACGTATTTTGACATTAAACACTCGCCCCATCCCCACCACTCTCTTTAATTCAGCCGAAAATATAATAAATACATTTCAAGAGAGGATTAACTTTACTTTTCAGTATAGATATACGGAATTTTTGATTAAGCCCCGCATTTTTATTTCAAATACCCCCCCCCCCCCCCTATTCACTTTCAAGGCAAGTAAATATAAATGTGCCAGAAAATTATTTATATATTTGAAAACAGAGAGAGAGAGAGAGGGGGGGGGGGTAACGGTCACTCGACACAAACTAGGTCATTTCGGGACTAACACATGCTTCTATTTTATTTCAATAATTCGATTGCGCGTATTGGTCTTTAGCAGTGGGAGGAAACCGGAGGACCCGGAGAAAACCCACGAGATTGGACAGGCGACCCTACTCCTTGTCACGTACAACCGGGGAATCGAAACCCCGCGAGTTGACTCAATGAAAGACCATATGATACAGCGCGCGCACGTGCTAACCATTCGGCCATCCATCATTACCCAACCCCATATTTGAAAAGAACAGCAATCGTGCGTTCTACTGATATGCAGCAAGATATCTGGAATTTCGTATTAGAATCAGTAATTCGACATTCAATACCCCCCCCCCCCCCACGTAATTACTTAATAGAGTTCAGTATTATCCAACTTTGATAGTTTGTCAAGGTAAGTAAATATAAATGTGCCAGAAAATTATTTATATATTTGAAAAGAGAAATGAAAGTGCTTTTCGGTGATATATAACATAATATCTGGAATTTCGTATTAAGACCCGTAGTTTTTACTTTGAATACCCCTACCCCCATCATCCCAAACTTAGGCTGCCTATCTACAGCTAGCTCCAGCTGAGAATACACATTCTGGGAAGTATGACGTAGATGGATCGCTGCGTGCAGTATGCATTCGTCTTTGGTCACCTCTCAAGGCAAGTAAATATAAATGCGCCAGCAAATTATTTATATATTTGAAAAGAGCAGTAAACGTGCTTTTCAGTGACATGTAACTATGATATCGGGAATTTCGTATTAAGACCCGTAATTTGGTAGTGAGGGCCAGCTTGATTCGCAGTTAGTGAAGGGTAAGTATTCTTAGTGAAAGATGAGTTAGTGAGGGCCGACTTGATCTCGTTGCCGCTTCAACATTGATAAATAAAGTCGACAACCCGACATCACGACACCACGACAACCCGACATCACGACATTTTTACGCGACAGTACGACATTTTTACGCGTCATTACGACATTCTTAATGTCGTGGTGTCGGGTGAAAATGTCGTAGTGTCGGGTTAAAAATGTCGTGATGTCGGGTTGTCGTGGTGTCGGGTTATAATGTCGGGTTGTCGGGTTATAATGTCGTGATGTCGGGTAGTCGGGTTCTCGCCTTATGAAGGGCGACACCACGACATCACGACATGATACCAATCAGCCACCATAGATTGAACAGTTCATTAAAATGTTGATTTCGTCTGCTTGGTGAGATAATTGAATTTATTTGGCGCGACATTGTAAATTTGTCTATGAATTTCCAATTTATAACAATTTAGTAACTGTCGCAGGAAGCGCCTAATCAAATCAAACGACCGTAGGGGGCGGATGCACCAGGCATGCAGCGTACTGTGGGGTAAAATTTTGCCCGGATCCGGTTTTTCGTCCCTTACTGTGGGGAGGGGATATCCTCGGAGATTTGTAAAATTTTCCTAGTGAAAAGTTTTTGGGAACCATTGACATAAAGGGTTGATGGGTTAATTTTATTTTTTACATGTTATATTGCAAAGTAATATTATTGATCTTTACAGATACGGGTTATGACTTTCATCATTCAAACTGGTTTTCTAAAATTCTCATGGAACAGCAGCCAAAGACAATCTCCATGACGGACCTCGGCATAAAAGGATACAGTACGTTAGCCAAACCCCTGTTTAAGCCTTGGTGTGGAAATGAAGTCTACCTAAAGTTTTTAGATGGATTATATAGTTCCAATAGATTAAGAACCCGAATGATGCCACCGTGGGAACCTTGGAAAATCAAAATATCCAAGATGGTCGTTACGAGGCATTTTTATGGTTATTATGTCATGCTGAATTGTTGCATGGGTGATTTTGATCATTGTTTCTGATATACATGACTATAAAACAGTGATAAATTTAATCAGTAGAAAGGTCATACAAAACAATTTGGCTAAAGGAAACCAGAAAACAGGAAACAATATTAAAGATGAATCTGCACATATTGGAGATAAATCATCCATCTGTATTATCTTAACAGTAATTACACACGACAAGGTGTGCCTTCAATTTCTAGAACAACTGATGTCACTATACTTACTTTTGTATTTAAAGTGGCCATTGCCCCGAAGTTGTAATCTACCGGTTTCGGCAATAAACTGTACTAAGCGATGGTTTACAGGTTTCGTTGGGTATGATTGAGTTCCCTTTTTGTTTTAGAACACATTTTAAAATAATTAACTAAATTATGATTACATGTGAATCATTACAATTATAATATTTATGTACATCGGATTAGGCTATAAACATTACAATTAGTACCATACAATATAAGAATAAAACAACTTTGTGAAATACATCTAAGTACATATTATGTATAAGCCTGGTTTTCGATTAGTAGATAAAGTAGTTATTCATTGGTGTTTTGGAATGGTATTGCTACAGAGGCATCCGCCCAAAACCCACAGCCCACCCGCCTCCTGGATCTGCCACTGGCTAAACAAGAAAAAAGGCTGCTAGGGTATTAACTGTGAGCTTTTGAACATGAGAATATACTTCCAAAAGTACTGAAAAAATAGAAAAATAGAGACTTTCCACAAGTAAATAATATTATGGTTTATACACCAAAAGAGACCCCGACCCCACCACACCATAATTTCGTAGAATATTAAATTTCCATTCTTTTTTAAAACCCTCCTGATATTATGGAAATCGGAGCCCAGTGTCTTAACTTAATATTAGGCTGCTCAAAGTTTTAACTAATTGTATAGAAATCAAATAGCTTAAATATATTTTGTACTTGGTTGACATAATATATAATACTATTTCATCGCAACATCAAAAACATGGTACGATAGAAGCACTAGAATGTTATAACCCGTAATAAATTATGGTGTATAAAATCATATGAAAGATATTACATAAAATCTGTATTTTACACCATCATGTCGTAGTGTCACAGAACAATGTTCTGTTAATTGAATGTAACACTTTGGCGACAACAACTGTATGATATGCTATAACGGACAATCTTATCATCACTTCACAAATTTAGCGATCAATTATAAAACTTTTAAATGCCTCGCCAATGTTCGGAACAAAAACAGTCTTTTGTGGCAACTTTCAGGAAGTGGCCTTGTTGGTTTTATGTTCTACTAGCAGGATACCCGGCTTCGCTCGGGGGTCATAACCCCAAAACCGGAAGTGGTAGACCAACGCCACCTGGCCTATGCTACTCCCCGGTCCTAGCAACCCCTATACCCAAAATTTCAGACTCGGGGCAGACCTAGTGTAGCCGCCAACCCGAACAGACCGGCTTCGCTCGGGGGTCATAACTCCGAAACCGGAAGTGGTAGACTAACGCCACCTGGCCTATGTTACTCCCCAGTCCGAGCTACCCCTATACCCCAAATTTCAGACTCGGGGCAGACCTAGTGTAGCCGCCAACCCCGAACAGACAGACTTCGCTCGGGGGTCATAACTCCGAAACCGGAAGTGGTAGACTAACGCCACCTGGCCTATGTTACTCCTCGGTCCGAGCTACCCCTATACCCCAAATTTCAGACTCGGGGCAGACCTAGTGTAGCCGCCAACCCCGAACAGACCGGCGCTTCGCTCGGGGGTCATAACTCCGAAAACGGAAGTGGTAGACTAACGCCACTTGGCCTATGTAACTCCCCGGTCCGAGCTACCTCTATACCCCAAATTTCAGACTCGGGGCAGATGTAGCCGCCAACCCCGAACAGACAGATTTCGCTCGGGGGTCATAACTCCGAAACCGGAAGTGGTAGACTAACGCCACCTGGCCTATGTTACTTCCCGGTCCGAGTTACCCCTATACCCCAAATTTCAGACTCTGGGCAGACCTAGTGTAGCCGCCAACCCCAAACAGACCGGGGTCGCTCGGGGGTCATAACTCCGAAACCGGAAGTGGTAGACTAACGCCACCTGGCCTATGTTACTCCCCGATCCGAGCTACCCCTTTACCCCAAATTTCAGACTCGGGGCAGACCTAGTGTAGCCGCCAACCCCGAACAGACAGACAGACAGACAAACGACAGTCTCAAATATATATATAGATTAAAGGTATTTAATTAAGAACTTTATATAATTCAAGCCGCTGATCGTTAAATGCATTTTTCAGACAATATGATTTTACACAGCTTAAACCACGCTAAAATTACTCAAATTGATTTTAACATTCAATTAAGAAATCAAAATATAGATAACTCGCCGGCTTGCATATTCAGTCGGATTAAAAAGATTATAGGAGGCGCTGACTTGTTTTGACTACATCTCGTTTACTTGTCTGCATAGAACTATATCCGTTTCTCGTTTACTTCGTCTGCATAGAACTATATCCGCCGTTTTTGAACTGATTTTCCTTTTACAAATTCAACTTAAAAATATTGTAGATCGCAAGGGATTTGAAATGCCTCAAATGATGATATATAAGCGGGCCCCCCTGAGAGCTCTAATTTTCACGCGGAATCCCCTCAAAAAATTGAGAATGCGCACGCGAAAAATCATACATACACAACGATTAGTAAAATATATTATGCTGAAGGGAATAATTGACTAAAATACTTAAACATACATTATGCAAGAGCTAAATCTGTCTATTTAGGTTTCAGACGTTATAGAAATTATTAATTTGACCTTTATTTCCATGACAAGCTCAAAATCAACTCTGCAGACGCTCGGAGGGCTTGGATACATCTTGGATTTAAACAGTCGTCCATTTAAAATTAAATCAATAAAATGGCGGACCATGCTAACGTTTACTGTTCGTCACTGACGTCACTACCGGAGATTGGTGATGAAAGGCCTGCCAAGCGAGGGTACCATAGCCATTGAGAATGTTACTTGATAATCGAGAATATGTGGGGGAGATATCGTCTGCCAATCAAACGATCGGCAATTCTCTTAAACGGTGCAGACACAGTTGATGCCTATTTCTAGTCCAAACTTCCAACAGTGACAACTCCGTTCAGAATAAAGTAATTTGACTGAAATTTTCAATATTTTCGTTTTTTATCAGCTATTTTTGAATTATTATAGTAAGAATGGCCAAGTCTTTATTAACTAATGTATCTTTAAACAGTCGATACGTTTTCTCGAAGTATAATCTCTTTATCATTTTTCAGGTTATTTCCATTTATTTCAGTGTTTTGCTTTGGTATATTTTTTTCTTTGGTTGGTACAGGCTTATAAGTTACACCACGGCATTTATTGTAGATGACATAAATGATGGATATGAGGAACAGCGGCAATGGAGTCATGATTCCGGATGCAGCAGGACCAACAGCTGCTAAATCGCCATCTGGTGGCGGTAACGACGTCATCAACATCAAAAAGGCAACGCCAACATTTTGAATTCCTGTTTCAATAGCGATTGTCTTGACGCGATCCCACGGCTGGCGACAAACCAAAGCTATTATTCCTCCTATTATGTATCCGAAATAAGGCAACATGCATCCGGCGAGAATGTGAATTGGGCTAAACAGTCGAAATATAAACATATTTACATAAATCCCAAACGAGAGAAGAATGATTATCGCAAGAAAGGTCACGGGTTTGATAATTTTGAGGATAACTTTCGATACTTTAAGACATTTGACTTTTATTACCATGCCTACAAATAATGGTACTATAACTAGTAATAGGGTGGTCATTATATTAAGATAGGGTATGTTTATTTGAGTTTTGTCATCATCAAACTGTGAACCCAGGGTAAACATCCAGAAAGGTATGAGACCTGAAATCAAACAAACGGTACATAAGCAGTGAGAATCATTTTGATTCATAATAGGTATGAAAAAAGTAAACATCGCTGTGTGACTTCACCGACTGAATGCAAACAAAAACCGGAGTAATGCGTTACTTATCGCATTGGTTTCGATACACATTTGGAATAGTTACTCAGAAACCAGTGATGCAGTCAAACAATCCACCCCTCAAAAAGTGATTAATCAGATGCTAGGCTAAGGCTAATCAATGCTGTTGGTAACATTACAACATTATGTCGTTATCTGGTAAGTAAATGGTGTTATATTTCAAGAATGCATTACACAAAAAATGCATTGGAAATGATTTTTCTCCAAAATTATCAGTCGATACTAGTGATTGTTCATCGCCTAAAATTAACTGAAACCTTACCTAATGCAGCAACGGTACTAAGGGTCGTCATGGTAACAGAGAGTGATACATCCCCATTTAAAATGTAGCAATACAGATTACTGATGCCTCCACCAGGACATATACCACAGGCAAAGATACCTAGACCAACGGCTGGATTATCAAACTTGATGAGTTTAGCAATTCCAAAGGCGATCTGAAATAATAAAAAATATGTTCCAAATAAGGTAACCTTGTTAAATATTAAAAAGGCTCACGATATGTGAGCTATTATCCCAAGGCCCGTACGTAAGATTATGATTCCTTAAGCAATGGCCCGAGAAATCCCTTTTGGAAACACTGCGAAGAGTATGGGTTATGATGTACAATTGAGTTCAATACTGGTTGGTCTGAGCTCACTTGTTGGTTTTAGATCATTGGGTCAGTCATGGAATCAGGCTTGTTCGTGACATACAGTGTGACCGCCTGTCTGACCTCATTGGGGTTACTCCGCCACCCACCACCCCCGCCACTGCAACAGACCTCTATACACAAGCAAATGATTGAAATAAAGATGTACCTATTCGACCCATATTTTGACGCATAATCGATTACATGAATTTATCTAATTCAAAATACGTAGTTCATTTATAGTGTTAAAACAAAGTTTCGTACATAAAAGGCAAGAACAATCTTAACAACCTAACAATAATGCTGATGTCCCCGCCTTATTGCCAAAATAAAAAGACTTATCTTTTAATAAAGCATTGAACAATCAAATTACTTATCACCCTGTTTAAACTGAGCAGAAAATGCTTATTATCGAACTTAGTAAAGTTATTGATGTAATGAAACTATAAACTGAAGTATATCAGGAACCAATAGATCAGTGGTTCCCAACCTTTTGTGTACCATACCCCACCTCAACATCGGAAATTATTTTGTGCTCCTCTTTGACATGAAAAAAACCCAAGAGTTTTGTAAAAGTACATGAGAGAGAGAGGGGGGATTTGTGACAACTGTCGTGCATAGGTTACAATGATACACTGGCAAGAGAGCTTCTCCTAAAACAGGCGGGGGTCACGGTGGCTAAGGGGGTATGCCGCTAGCTTGCTAGCCTTGAGTCGGGTATTCGATCCCTTGTAGGGCATGCGCCCACGTTGGGAACCACTGCAGTAGATATTCTTATACGGACGCCTGTTCATATCTGTTTGTGGACACTCTAAAGGTCACACTTTTTATCTGATTTTGATGAAACTTAAAATACAGGTCCGTATCTTAAAGATCTCGGATGGGTTTTGGCACGTATTAGACCGTAACTTAATGGATTAGTACTCTGGTTGTACAAAAACTAGCGTTTTAAACTTGTGGATCCACTAAAGGTATGAAACTTGGATGATTTGGATGAAACTTAAAGTATTATATGTCTATATCCCCAAAATCTCAGATAGGTTCGATATTGACACACATCGGACCATAACGTCGTGGATTATTGATCCTGGTTGTACGAAAAATCATGTTTTGGCTTGGTATCACCATTTTGTTCCAAAGGATTCGAGTGAGAATATATTGACGCATTTGAAATACATATCCTGATACGCGGGACCCCATGCTTTCACTCGTGAGCCGACGTCTTCTAAATAAGCCTTAGGTCGAAGTCGTCATACCCATGGCTTCCGGGCATGAGTATCTTTGCAGAAAAGTTGCGAGGTTAGTTTGCTGCTTTCTACATTGGCCAATGATTCGGATAAAATTTGAATCGTGGCTCTGTATGGATAGTGCGCGCTGGTTGAGTTGAATAGTGGTGGATTCGTCCTTAATCAACTTCGTGCCGCCCTACCGTAAAATTCTTATAACGTAAAATTCTTAAGGTCTTTGCATTCTAACTTCCTAAGCCCTACTGACTTGGAAATCTTTGGGGGAATTTACCGATATCTATAAGAAAGGTCTGCATTCTTGAATATACGAGCGTACATTCTTTTCACCGTCGTTTGAGTTGGTGTTACAGTAAAGAGATTAACCTGACAGTGATAACAGTACCACCCCGGGGTGGGGGCGGGGCGGTATCTATAGGTCAGACAGCCGGTTTGACACCGACATCTGACAGGTCATTCAACATAGTTCACCACAATGTGATCAAATTGATATAGGATGTCGATTTTATCCTAATATTCTAATTGGCTATAAAGGTCATTGTGTCGCGTTAACAAATAATTTAAAGAGAAAGTATCACTTTCACTTAGAGAATACATTTAATTTTGAATAATTTAATACTTAAAATAATGCTAGATTATCCCTATGTCAATATATTATTGTGCTTGAGTGAAACTTAGAACGTCTTTATATCCGCAGTGGAAAGGCAAATGTGTCTTAAAGTTTGCGTACCATTGACGATGCAAAGGTCAGATAATATCAACTCAAAAATTGATTTTTCGTCTACCACTTCCTTAAGATTCTGCGGTCAGGTTGGGGTAGGCCTTTAATCTTTTGAAAATGTGAGCCCATGCGAAGTCTTTGAATTGAGATACTAAGAATTTGGCAAAGAGGTTGTTTTGTCTGGAAATACTTGAAATTATGTCACAAGAATTTTTTTTTTATGACAAGTGTTCAAAGAAAAGAATGAGGTCGGCTTTTGTCGGTGGATAGATATTTACAGTAGAGCAGTGAGCTTAATCTCGTGTTTACGAAAAACGTTATCAATCTTAAAATCCAGGCTTATTGTAAAAAAAACAGGTCAACTATATACATTCCCTCGCCCGATTTCAATAGAAACAAAAGGTAGACCTCTCTTTCTTAACCAGCGGGAGACTGTCAAACCAGTAACGCTTAAATGAACCTATTGGTATATTATTGCTACACAAATCACAAAATAACTGTTTAGATTAAATTTGTAAAAAAGAAATTCGTTTCAATGAACAAAATTATAAATATAGAATATAAAAATTGTCTGTTAAACCCACTTTGACAGCAAAGCCATGTTCTACCGGAGATTACATACGACATTGAAATTTCTAATTTCTTTCAATGTACAAGATAAAGCAGGCGAACATACTAGCAAATGTTATTTGGTATTTTTTTTAAAGTACTCACCAACGGCATGCAGACATACTGACAGAAAAATCCAATAGCTGGAGCGATTGGTTTCTTCAAAACAGATATGACAACATCTAACTCTGTTTTACACCCCATACCAATGGTACTGGATATAACAACAATATAGACAATTACTCTGAATCCAATATCTAAATTCCTCATGGGTCTGATAACTATTACCAGAAGTCTTAGAAGTCTGCTACTCCCAGGTACCGTTTCTTGTGGGTGAGTGTTATTAGCCAGAACAACTTCTGAGATATTTTCCACTAATATGAAATCTAGCCAGGTTCTTCCCAATAAATCGGTACCAAGCGCAAAGCTGAAGTTACCCATAACTTCAAATTCACCTGTTTCTGGATCCACGTCAGAAATGAACACATTGTTGGTATTATTTGGAGAACATGGTATACTGATAATATTTTTATCGCGGATAAAAGCAACAGAAATATCTTCTGTCACTACCAGCAAACTATAAACAGTGTCTTCATCTGTGCACTTAATGGTATAATTGACGTCAACAATAAAATCATTGTACATCTGAGCCATTATTTGTGGATAGTTTACATTCAGATTAATAAGAGTGTGGTTCGTTTGGAGATGGTTCTCTCCATACTGAGTGATGGTGTCATTCTCACAGACTGTTAGAACCATTTGACTAAACAAAAGTATCAAGATAATCCTACGACGGCAACCATAAATCCCTTTATCCAGCATGTTGTTATCCAAGTCAGTTATGTCCTCCAAATAATTTGATTCGATTGCAACAGATAAACTTTATCAACCATGCACTAAACAAATATTATAGTTCATATTACAACTTATCTAAGCCGCCTCATAAATGGGCAGTATACTTCATTCAGGAAATAAAACTCAACTGAATGGACATCTGCAAGCTTGGTATTTTATATAGTAACGTTAAACAAAGATTTGAAGCTACTGAAGCATATTATGAACACTTGTGGCATGAAACGAGGGTAACAGCATACATAGGTATCATAAACTACAATGAACTATGAAATTGTTTGTATAGACTACTCATATATTATTATGTTTAAAGCTACATGATTTCTTTAAACAAAATATAAATATACGAAATACATGTAAATATTTGTGATTTGAATACTGTCAGGAAAGTATATTCGGAACAATAAAAAGAAATTAGTTGAAAAACCGTACTGGTCCTGATAATGGACAAAGACAACATTCATCAGTTTTATACAGCTTGAAGCTGACTGAATGTTTGCAGCTTATCCGTTTTTATAACAATTCGTTGTTCTTAGCGTTTAACATCCGCTTCCACCGAAGGTGATATCGCAGACAAGTTCATTTTAATGATCTTAGCGCACGCGCAGGGGTCTTTGCTGTGGGAGGAAACCGGAGTACCCGGAGTAAACCCACGAGGTTGAGAAGGCGCCCCTATCTCCAAGCCACATACGCTCACACCTGGGATCGAAACCACAGCCGCAAGCCAGAGGTGACCTTAGATGATATCGCAGACAACTTTTATAACAATCTTAATCACTACGGTACATGGCAAAAAGGGTGGGTTTTTTGTAGCATTTTATGATGGCCTCATTGTTGGTTATTGTCGCTTTAAAACGGTAAAGATTAGATAAACTATGAAAGCTAATAATCACAGCCTATGCTTTCTCTCATGACATAATCACCCGCTATACACAAACAATACCGTCCTATAAAATGACATTGGTATATTGTAATCAGTAAGTAAAATATATAACAATAGAGTGCAAAGTTAAGATTCGGGTATTATAACGGTCACGAACAGGGCCGTAACTAGCTCAGAGCAACAAGGGGGGCGGGAAGTATTCTCGGGGTGCTGTAATATTGACGGACAATGTATATCTATTTTTTTATGGTCGAAAATTTTTTCACAGGGGGGGGGGGGGGGGGCGAAACTTTTTGCAGGGGGGCAAAGCCCCCCCTGCGCCCCCCCCCCCCCCCCAGTTACGGGCCTGGTCACGAACAGAATATAAAATTCGCCAAAGTTTAAAACATATTATTTCAAATCTTTTAGACAAAAAGGTTTTTCACGATGTTTATAGATTGAATACCCACTATACCCAAGAACCCACAATATGGCCTAATAAAGACCACATAAGGTGAAAAATCTAAATTTCATGTACGTAAAGCCAATGGTTAGTTACTATATCCACTTGACGGCAAGTTCACACCAAACTGATTAGAATTAATTCGGCTATTAACGTTTAAGTATCCAACACGCCAAAACGCTTTTCAATTTTTCAATTACGACCTTAATCCGGTTGATTGACTGGTGACGTCACAGGGACTACACATAGTATACATTATCTATACAATATATCACTGTACAATGTATCACTGTCTATACACATCACCAGTTGACAAGTGTCTATTGACGGTCCAAATAACATGTGACTAGCCTAATCATAATTACCGAATTATCGTCTTGCATTGTTATAGATTAGACATTTGTTATTGGAATATTTTAGAGTGAATTTAAAATGTCGTATCATGCCGTAGATCTATTTAAGCTGCCTTTGATTAAATAAGCCACGTGGAAAATGCAGACGGTCCAAGCAATTAGCGCATTTACCGGTAATTTGGACAACCCCGTAATACTTGATATCCCAAACTATCTATAAGTGCAGAAGTACAAATGGTGCCAGTCACCTGTCGATATATTCATTATTAGCCATATATAATAATAACCATTTCTATACACAAATAACAACTTTTAGCGTATCTCCATTTGAAATTCACAGCGATATGGAATTTTCCGATGACTATGCATAACAATAGATCGCCCTCATTTCTCAGCCAATCAACGCCGGGAATCTTATTATCATGTACGGTTCCATACATACTACGTGCGTAGTAACTGAGGTTAAATTTTGGCGCGAAAATTGCATGGGATTCATGGACATGAATATCAAATACATGTGATCATACGTGGAGTTCCTGATGCCGTTTGGTAAGTGATTAAACTGTCAATGTAATTGTAAAATACCTTTATTATAAAGAAGTTAAACGATGTTAGACATTTAAACCTAATCTTATCACAACCGTTTATCCATCGAATAATTTATATTCAGATTTCATATCAAGTCAATTAAATGTTGTTTAAACGCCAATCAACAAATACAACGAGGCTACTGATTATTGGGTAAATAATAATTATAAACAACTGGGGCCTGTTTCACGAAATTTTAACTAAAGATAAAATCCAAATTTTAGTAGATAGTTCAACTAGTTAAAATTTCGTGAAACAGGCCCCAGATGAGTAAAAACTGAATTATTCTTATCCAATTATTGTGTGTACAATTCTACGATTAGTTGTGTGGAGAAATGTTTGTAGAAAAGTTCCCCCGTAACTTTTTTCGTTTGTTCGTGGTGGCCGGCGTAAAAAAGATAATTACCTAATCAGCATTCTTAATCCCACGTCGAGATGTAAATTAATTTATGACCCTATGTCTGTGCAACTTTAGTCGGATTGATTAATGACAGATATTAACGACACTACACTTTATTATTAATACACAAAGATAGTTGGATGACTCTTCTCAATCTGTTATTCGATTTAGATGGTTAACAACAAAATTTATTTTTACTGTTTTAACTCTAACGTATATTGAGATATTCGTATAATACTTTTACGGTCTATTTCAGAGTAATGAAGTCAAATCCACATCCAGAAAGAAAGGCGTCGTACGATGGCTACAAGAAAACGCGATACAGTTGGCTACTCTGATAACGGATCGTCATTTACAAATCGCGTTTCAATCATGTTTTACTTTTATGATACATTTTGCATGAAAACACCTTTTTACTCTTGTACTCTTTTACTCGGGGAAATTATAACCACAATACTCTTTTGACGGAAATGTATCTCGAATCGTTTGGACTGCACACGATGGTAGAGGGGCTCTTAACAAAAGGTCACTTTAAAACACAGTTTTAAAATAGCTGTCGTCAGAAGAGAGGGTGGGACATTATAAAACAAATTCTAAATTGGATCTTAAATTAAAACAAATTACAAAACAAACTAGAACTGCGATGTAGTAATGATGGGTTTCACCAGTGCCACTTTATCCGTGAACTTATGTCACTTCCGGTGCCACGTTACCCTTGAACTTATGTCACATCCGGTACCAATGAAACCGTTAAACAGATTTCCACATAAGAATTGTACACTGTGTTATAAAATAGACGCAGAATAAACCAAATTCAGAAATATCAATTCCATTTATACATTCGTTAAGGGAAGATGCTAGAAGCAATTTTTGGATATCTATATGATCGTATTGATCAAATCTATATGTCCATTGGAATCAAATATCATAATGTTAAACGAATAATAAATATAACTCACTTCAAAAACATATTTGTTTTGAAGGGTAAAAAGACAGTTTCTGCCAAAATGACATTACTTCCGGTGATAATTTTATGAAAATCGAATAATTGACACTTTTATAGACCAAAAACCTTGAAAGTGATTAGTAGAAAATCGTCTATTTCTCTGCAACCGTACAAGTTAGAAACCATTTTGTATTATCTGTATGGTCGTGTGGGTTTATTCTATTTGTTGATCGGAATCAAATATCATAATTTTAAACAAATAACAAGTACGATTCATTTGAATAAAATATTTGTTTTTAAGGCTAAAAATTAAGGTTTGGGCAAAATGCGTCATTTCCGGTGACAGTGAAAATGTTAAAATAGCTTGACCCAGTCGATAGTGGCATTAGGCAATGAAAATTGAAAATCGGATAAGAATTGATTCTTTTACAGGCAAAATAAAGTGAGTCATGCTAAATTGCTTATTTCTCGGCAACTGCTCATATTACAAACTAATTTTGACATACATTCTTTTCGTATGGGTTATTGCTAAGAGTTTATGAAAGTTATGAAGAAATATTTTAAAATATGAAGACGCTGGATGGGTTGTAAATAGCTTATTTTTACACCTTTTTTTCACATTTTAATCGAAATGGCTTGAAAACGAAATCGAAATTAAAAAAAAACTGAGCCCGATGTTTTGTGCGCCTTTACGGGGCACATCCTTTCAGTTATACCAAATTTGAAAAAAAATAATATACTATTCAAAAAAAGTAGGGGATATTTGATTTTTAAGTGTTATTAAAGTCACCTAATGAAACTGACGAAGAAACAAATGACAAAATGAAATGAAGTTCACATTCATCGATTTATTCCAAATGATCGTTAGACTAAGTAAGGCACAGACTGACCATTATAAGGGTAAAATGATACCCGGGGTCAAACAGCAAAGTTACCACAGCATCACAACCAAGTCAGTAACGGGTAAATCCTCCTCTGTTTGCCAAACAAGCATTGATCCGACGTGGCATACTCCTAATGAGACGTCTAAGGTCATTTTGGTCCAGATTGTCCCATTCCTGTTGCAACGCAGCAGCAAGTTCTTGGACATTGGCAGGACGTTGTTGACGTTGACGTAACCTCTGTCCAAGCATGTCCCAGACATGCTCGATGGGGGAGAGGTCGGGACTCAGTGCTGGCCAAGGTAATGTGGTGATGTTCTGTTGTTGGAGGTAACCTGTAACGATCCTGGCCCTGTGACATCTTGCGTTGTCATCCTGGAAGATGAAACGGCGGCCATGACGTCGTGCGAACGGCACAACATGGACTGCCAAGATGTTGTCCCGGTAATACTGGCCTGTAACACGCCCTGCAACAACATGTAAAGCCGTTCTTCCAGCAACAGTGATGCCTCCCCACACCATAACAGAACCACCCCCAAATCGACCATGTCTGATGACGTTAACGTCTTGGAAGCGCTCGTTTCGACGACGCCACACCCTCCTACGTCTGTCCAAAAAATCAACAGTGAACCTTGACTCATCTGAAAACATCACATTGCTCCAGCGTCGATTATCCCAGTGTTGACGATCCCTACACCAACGACGTCTTGCCTGAATGTGATGATCTCTCAAACAAGGGATCACGCGAGGACGTCGGGCGCGAAGGTGACCCCTATGCAGTCGATTCCGAATCGTCTGGCCA